CGGTCAAGTCGAAGGGCACTTTCGGAAGGCTCACTGCTTCCGGTCTCTGTAACATCCAATCACAGACCGACTCACACAGGACCTTATGTGACGATTGCCGGGCAGACTTCACTTCAGACGCCGTCCGCTGGCTTGTGGCTGTGCGGTCGTCTGGTTGTCAATTTCCTACTGCCTCTTCTCTACTTCATTCTGTAAAGAATATATTCTTCCTAATACTCTGGCCTTTCCAAGACTTCTCATCCCTCCCAAGGAACTGGGCCTGGAAGATCACAGCCGTTAAGGATTAAACTTTCTTAGCACTACGCGATAGAGATGTTGCTGGGCCTGACCCTTCCCACGTGACTGATTCTCTTGCTGATTCTCTCGCTCTTTCTCAATGCACGTCCCTACGCTATTATCAAAATAAACAGCAACCTAAATATTAACGCCTTGGCCTTACTTAAACTTTGACCCTGGCTCTAGGTCCAACTCTCCTCCTAGTACTTGGTCTAATTCCACCGCAATTCGGCGCAGATCTAGAAATATCGTGAGTGAGTTCTCTTACTCTGCCCTGTAAGCGGTCATATAAGCCACTTTCACTGATATCCAAAACTGCAAACAACCAATAAACTGCAACGAAGTCAAAGGCTTGATCACTTGGACAGTTATTATACTTTCCTGAGCTGTCGTCTTCGTAAATGAAGCCATCTTCCGAGACAGTGAGAGTACAGGAATAACTGACTTATGTATAGGAGTTAAGGCTAATACGGTTAACCCTAACACCTACAATCTTTCAGGCCCGGTTCCTTAGGAGATGGTAGAAGTCTTGGGAAGGCCAGATTGTTAGGAATAGTTTATTTTGCAGAAGGACAGAAGAATAGGTTGTGAGAGAGTTGACTATCGGAGCATACGTCCGACCGCGAGGCGGGCCAGTTCCGAAGTCCTTTCTAAGGAGCAGACATTCGAGCCGCCAGCTTTGGCTGCAAACGTGATTGGACCACGCATGGGCGAACCGGCGTGGATGCACTAGTAAGTGCGTCAGTGCGTCTGGCGGTAGCATCAGCCTAGAGCTTTGTCCA